GATCACACTGGCTGCCCAGACTGGATTCCTCGTCAATGACATGGGCTCTTGCTGGGATGTCCTCTAAGGCTGTTACTGCCATTTAAGCCAGGACACCCCCAAATCTGCACTGTACCTTTTCATTCCTGCCACCAGCTTCAGCACCATCTGGACTCACTCCACCATCCTTGCTTCCTGGTCCCACCGCCTCTGCTGAAGGAACCCATCTTTCTCAGGGGGTTTTCACTGGTGGGTGGGGTGTCCCTATGCTCCTAATCCCCCCTCCCCAGGCACACACTGAAGTAGAGGGAATGCTGTTGTGGCCTAGGGCCTGTGAGGAAGCTCTCAGACACACGACACACCCGAGTGTGAGAATGAAGCAGTTACATTGCATGTTAGTCTTCTTAACCAATAACTTAGTGTTTTATGGATGTTAGGTGTCTTTTCCCGGAGGCAAGATTCTATTTACAATCCTGCATCTAGCATTGCTCAGTAAACTCACAGGAAGTTGATGTGAAGTCTTAGGATGAGAAGTGGATGTGAGTATTCAGGACTGGCTTTGCTGGAGCTGATTTATACCAACAGGCTCAATCATAGTAACTCATACACACAGGCCACTGTTCCAAAGTCTCCTCCCGTTTGCCTATTGGCACCTCAGCCTGAGGAGTCCTCAAGCCAAAGTTCCCAGCCTGCATTCAATGAGCAGGAATATTCGCTGAGGCTCCAGAAGCACAAGGGCGTGGCCTGGTGTTGAGGGGAGAGCACAAAATGAGGACCCACCCCCAGTTCAAACCTGCTCCCTGTGCCCTGGGAGCAAGGAACTGGAACAAGTAGGAAAGGATTTAGAGATTCTCCAGCTGCCCCCAGGGTGGAGCTGGGACCCCTTCTTCCACCTTCCGGGCCACTAAGCAGTCACAGTTGACCTTTGGCTCTCATGTTCAACACCAGAGCAGGACTCGCTCTACTTCAGGCTCATCTCCATAACCCTCTCCCAGTTGGGCTCACACCCCCATCACCACTGCCTGTGTCCGGCTATGAGGCTTGCTGATGTATGCAGTACAACCACATGCCCCAGCCCTAGTGCAGATCTGGGATGGATGGACAAACAGGTGGGTGGGTGGATGGAACAGGTGAATGGACGGATGGATGAGCAGCAGGATGGATGCATGTATTCATGGATGAATGAGTATATGCATGGCTGGATGAACCAAAGAATGCATGCATGCATGGATATATGAGTGGTGTGTTAGACTCAGCACATGCTCCTTTTTTGCTTCCCTTCCTTCCCTGAAAAATTCAGTCCTAAATCCATATGGTTCATCAAAGCAAGGTGCGCATCTGCCGAGGGCAGGGTGTGGGGTAGCAGGACACAGAGGACCAAGGCCAGGGTGTCAGAGCCAGGAAGAGTGAAAAGGGCAACTCAGGGGAAGGGCAGCATCACTGGTGGAGATTTGAAGAAAGGAGTTAGAATGAACTCTGGGGTGTTAGATTGGAATGGGCAGCATCAGGGGACTCAAAGTTTCAGATAGATGGGTAGTAGATGGATGGATAGATAGATGATAGATAGGTAAATAGATAATGGATAGATAGACAGATGATAAATAATAGATGGATAGATAGATGACAGATGAAAATTGTACATGTATTCATGTGAGGATACAAACACACATCACCCAGCTCTATTTACCGAATCTAGGGGAAGTGACATTAGCAATAATCATATTTTGACTTATAAATACCACTATGCACCATTTGAAAAAAAACAGAAATGGCTAAATCCAGGGCTGAGGCAAAAGAGATATAAGATGAATCTCCTTGACTGAAAAATATACACAACCTAAAAGTTGAGAGTGATGTTTTGTTCAGTGGACAAAACTGAGGACTTAAGCCTGGGACACAGCCTCTAAGATAGCTCAAAGAGATTCCTCTAAGAGGGAAGTCAGTGAACCAGGATATAGGCGTTTTTTGTAATGAAGACCAAGTAGTCAGAACATCAAAAGATTACCGAACATCTCAAGTTAAGGAGTTTAGTGCTTTTGTGTGGGAGGGGAGATACAAGAGTCTGGGTTCACTGATTGCTTTGATGTGCATCTCAGCTCTCTCGAGCCAGTATCCTGTGTTTTCTCATCCTGAGTCCACTCGGGGTATATCATTGGGAGGAGGCAGGTGGCTGCAGCAGCTGACTACTAGATGGTGTTGGGGGGCATCCTGCTTTCATCCTGAGTTTCCTCAGGGCTCACTGTGGGAGCAGCTATAATGACTGATGGCTGCAACACCCTTTGTTTGCTGATGCAGCAGGCAGCATTTTTAGTTCACAACCTGGACCATCTTCTTGTGCTGAAAAGTAAGGATGTGGTCTAAATAGTGACAGGGGCTGTCACATGGCCACAGATCCCACTTGAAAGAGCTCCAATGACCAGGTGGGTATCTGAGCTTCAGAATAATCACACTGATGGGTTATAGCCCACTGAATCAAATAAAAGCCCAGAATCCAGACTGATATCAATAAATAGTATCAAGACTTGGTGAGGAGTGGAATGTGTCTATAGGTTCCAAGTTCCTTCCCATAAAATGCTTATTAATTATGGATGGGAAGTGAGTAGCTCTGCAGGGGAAGCCTGGCTGATGGCCCCAAGAGGGATCCGGTCAGCACCAGGCCACCCAACTGGACACCACTAAAAGGAAGCCTCATAAGCCAATCTGCTCTGATTGTGAGAAAATACAAACCCAGACCACAGACATCAAGACTGCTGGAAGAAATATCAACAACCTCAGATATGCAGATGATACCACTCTAATGGCAGAAAGTAAAGAACTAAAGTGCTTCTTGATGAGGGTGAAAGAGGAGAGTGAGCAAACTGACTTAAAACTCAACATTCAAAAAACTAAGATCATGGCGTCTGGTCCCATCACTTCATGGCAAATAAAGAGAGAAAAAAGTGGAGACAGAGGCAGATTTTATTTTCTTGGGCTCCAAGATCACTACAGATGGTGACTACAGTTATGAAATTAAAATACACTTGCTCCTTGGAAGAAAAGTTATGACCAACCTAGACAGCATATTAAAAAGCAACTTTGCCAACAAGAGTCCATCTGGTCAAAGCTGTGGTTTTTCCAGTAGTCATGTACAGATATGAGAGTTGGACCATAAAGAAGGCTGAGCACAGAATTGGTGCTTTCGAACTGTGGTGCTAGAGAAGACTATTGAGAGTCCCTTGGACAGCAGGGAGATCAAAGCAGTCAATCCTAAAGGAAATCAACTCTGAATATTCATTGGAAGGACTGATGTTGAAACTGAAGCTCCAATACATTAGCCACCTGATGCGAGGAGCCAACTCACTGGAAAAGACCCTGATGCTGGGAAAGATTGAGGGCAGGAGCAGAAGTGGGTGACAGAGGATGAGATGATTGAATGGCATCACTGACTCAATGGACATGAGTTTGCGCAAACTCCAGGAGATAGCAAAGGACAGGGAAGCCTTGCATGCTGCAGTCCATGGGATCACAAAGAGTCAGACATGACTTATTGACTAAACAACAATAAATGAACATTCTACACAATACCAGGCCTGTGGTCTTCCAAACAGCCCAGGTCCTAAAAGTCAAGTACCCTGAGGAATGTTCCAAACTGAAGACAGACAGCTAAAGAGACACTACAGATGAATACAGCACATTGTCCAGAGCTGGAACTTTTATTACAAAGGCATCGCTGGGGCAGCTGGCACGTAGTGACTAGGGTCTTTAACCATAATCACATGCATCAGTGTATTAGTGATTAGATGAATTCCAGAGTCTGATGGTTACACAGAAAAATGTATCATAGAAACGTAACCTTGTTCACAAGAAATGCACACAAAGTTCTACCAGGGTGATGGAATTTCAAGCTGATAATTTACTTTCAAATGGTCCAGAAGGAAAAAAAATTATTTATATTATACAACTTTTTTGTGAGCTTTTTGGAATTGCCACTTTTTTAAGTATTAAAATAAAGTGTATTGAATCACCAAAAAAAAAAAAGAACAGAAAAAACTATAGGTGCAATAACAACAAAACTCCAAGGTGATTGTGAGGCATCCCTGTGGATGCAAAGTCTTTGTTCTAGAAGCCACTCAAGCAGTTGACCACAAGCTATGCACATAGAGCCCTTCCCCCAGGCAGCCCCACCCTGGAATCCTCCAGCGGGCCACACTTGCTAACTCTGATCCCCACCTACTGCAGTCATCAGAGATCACCCTCAATTAATTCAGGGCACCCTCTACCTTCAGGTGCCCCAGAGGCCCCATCAAGCTGGGGGCACTGGCTCTCCCCTTTCATGCCTCTTCCCTTTGGGGTGGCCTGGTTGTTGAGGACATCAAGGCTTTAGTCCTCTGCCCATGTCCTAGAGTCCTGAGTGATGCAGATTTTGGAGCCTACTCTCTCCCTGAGCCTCAGACAAGAGCCAGGGGACAGACTGGGGAGAGTCCAAGTGGCTTGGTTGGGCAATCTGTCACTCCCTCCACTTCACTCAAGGAAGCCTTCTCACCACCCTCTTCCATCGGGGTATTCCCTAGGAAGGCCCACAGATCTTGGTAGCAGTGGTCCCACCAGCCCATCAAATGTACCCAGGCATACCTGCTGCCCTGAGGGTAAAGCTTCAGCCTAAGCTGGTGGATGTGGGCATGAGCCCACGGGGAGCCTCCATTCCTCTTCAGCCCCCCAGAGAACCAGCCCCTGTGTGGCCACGCACTCTGAGCAGGATACCTCTGCACCAGGGAGACTGCAACTTAAAGGGGGCTCACCTCCCACGTTGCCAGGTTCCCTGCCCCAGCTTCTCTCCTGAGCCCACCCAGCCAGGGTAGGGGTGGAGAGCTGGTCCAGTGGGCTTGCTGCCATCGAGTGGTATGGAGGGAGGCGGCCACAGATGACTTCAGAGGGTCGAGATGGCCAGGCTCCGTGCACGGAAGGGCCACAGTGGGGTGTTCTGTCCTTCACACTCCCTCCTGACTTGGTCCAGTGACAGGCTTGCTTCACTGTGTCCACAGCATGGACAATGCCGAAGACCCTGTGTACGAGAGTCTGGAGGAGTTCCACGTTTTCGTCCTTGCCCACATATTAAGGCGACCCATCGTCGTCGTAGCGGATACGATGCTGAGGGACTCAGGTGGGGAAGGTAAGTTTACCCATAATGAAACAGATGTATTTTATTCATCACCCAGAAAGTGTAGCATCCCAAGTAAGGAAGAGACAGTTAAACATAACAGCTGAGCCTCCAGAAGGACACAGAACTTTACTTTGCCTGAACAAAGACTTTATTATTTCTCCTCGACTCCATGTTTCTTTTTCCTTCCCATGCAGTGGGGATTACTCTTCTTTTATCTTTTTTTTTTTTTTTGGCCACACCACTCAACTTGTGGCATCTTAGTTCCCTAACCAGGGATTGAAACTGGGGCCTTGACAAGTAAAAGCCCAGAGTCCTAACCATTGAACTTTCAGGGAGTTCTGTGTTTTGACGGCGGGAGAAATCTGGCTAGATAAGAGTCGGGATGAACCCCTAGGGGCTCCTGGCCCTGCCAGTTGCCCATGCCTCCAGTAGTACCAGCCTTGTCCCAGGGCCACTCAGCCACCTGAGTCCCCTCCTGCCCCCATTACATGTTTTAAAGAAGAAACAAGAAAGGCATAAAGTGCAAAGTCACCCAAAAGGCTGTGATGGAACCAAAACTGGGGAAAAGGAGGAAGGGATGGAGGGCTTTCTAGGGCTGGTGCCTACTTCACAGCCTATCACACACACCCTCTCCCTCGGCCAGGCCAATACTTCCCAGGGTGGACACTGCCTCCCACTTTTTAGATGAGAAGCCCAAAGCCCAGAGAGGCCACACAATGTGACCCCTCCCTGGCTGAAGCCTTGGAGGAAGCAGGATCAACCCATGGAGGGAGGGCTCCAGGCGTGTTCTCCCTCCAGCCTCTCAGCGGCAGTATCCTGTGGGCTCTCTGAAGGGGAGGGACAAGAAGGGTCATTCCAGTGCAAGTACCCTGCCTGTCATGGCTGGTATAACCACAGAGGGCAGGGGCCTGGGGCACACTGGTCACGTCCAGTGACACAGGCCCGCCAGGGTCTGCAGCTCTTGGGTCCCTATACTCGTCAGATCCCACAGGGCTGGGTCCACACCTCCTTCCCTTGTCCTGTAGCCCTCTCAAAGGTTGGACCCACCTTGCCTCTCAACAGAGAGAGAAGCCAGAAGCACAGTCACTGATATAGACGGAGCAAGGGTGGGGAGGAATCCTGAGCTCATCAAAGTCATCCCTGAGGTCGACTGTCCTTTCCTTCCACTCAGAGAAGGGCAGTGAGTCACTGATTCCAAGGCTAAGAGACAAAGTCCTTTGTGATTAAAAAGTAGAGGCCATATCAGGGCATGTGTTTATCTCAGTAAGAATTTAGGCCTTTTCCTCCTTTGGGTAAGGAAGTGAACAAGATTATGTCCCAGTTGCTGAAGGAGCCAATCCCCATCTCTCATTTCCCATCTTACTTAACGACTTGGGCCTGGAGTGCTCTCACTGAGTTTCTCAAAACCTAGAACAGACAAGCTCTGGAGCAGCACGGGCGTATTTCTGTGCGCAGGTGCTTTTGTGAACACAGGAAAACACAGGTTTCCAGGTAGCCATTAGTGCACGTCCTGGCTGACCACCTGAGCAGGCCTCAGGGCGCAGGCAGGCCCAGCAGGTCACAGCAGGTCCCCTCAGCCCCAGCCCTCTTGTGCCCAAGGTGCAGCCTGACAAGGCACGGGGACACAAGCCAGGACGACGCTGCCCAGGGAGGCAGGTTGGGGAGGGTGCCCTGGTCAGGCACAGGACTTGGGGGCTAATAAGCCTGGCCCCTGTGAGCCTGGGCTTCCTAATCAATTGTGGGCTCCCAGGGAGCTCCCGCTGGGTGGGAGGAGGCCCCTCTACTGTGGAGTGGATGATGGATGATGATAGCACCCGGGGCTGCAGCCTGAGCCCACCCTCCATTCCCTCTGCCCTGTTACTTCCCCCGGGTTGGTGAGAGCTGCTGTCTGTGTCCCCTCCGCTCCACATGCCCTCCTCACCTTTGTCTGTGTCTGCAGCATTCGCTCCAATCCCCTTCGGAGGGATTTACCTGCCTTTGGAGGTACCTCCCAACAGATGCCACTGCTCACCTCTGGTTCTGGCCTACGACCAAGCTCATTTCTCTGCCCTTGTGTCCATGGAGCAGAGAGACCAGCAGAGAGAACAAGGTATGCCTGCTGCCACTTGACGGTGGCGCGGAACAGAAGGGTCAGGAGGGCAGGAGGTGGAATGTGGAGCCCTCCCTTGAGAAGTGCACTCAGCAGTGATGGGTTTTGCCTAAAAATACCATATGCATGCAAAAAATATCATTGAAAATAATGCCATTTGCAGCAACATGGATGGAATGGATTCAGATGATTATTATCATAGATTATCATACCTAAAAAGCTTAGATTATCATACTAAGTGAAGTCAGTCAGAGTAAGACATATCATGTGATATCACTTACATGAGGAATCTAAAAAAAGATACAAATGAACTTATTTACAAAACAGAAACAGACTTACAGACACAGAAAACAAACTTATGGTCACCAAAGGGAGGAGTGGGGAAGTTTAAATTCGGATATACACACTACTATATATAAAATAAACAACAGGGACCTACTGTATAACACTATACTCAATATTTTCTAATAACCACTAAGGGCAAAGAATCTGAAAAAGAATATATATGACTGAATCACTTTAAAATATAAAGAAATTAATAATTCTGTCACCCTTATCTAGCCTTTACTGTGGTTCCCTTCACTTCTATTTTATATGGATGCAGTTAATCTCAGATGTAATTTTTAAAAGCTGTTCTAGTGCAATCACCTAACTATAGCTCACTTTCTTTGTAAATAAAGTTTTATTGGACCATAGGGACACTCATTCAAAGGCGAATTATCTGTGGCTACTGCTTTTGTACCCTAACAGCAGTTGAAAAGCAGTGTCAGAAACTGTGTGGCATGCAGAGACTAAACCATTCACTAATGAGCGCTTCATGAAAAATGTTCGCCAGCCTCTGCTCTGCAGTAAGCTTTTGAGTCAAAAGATGGATATTTCCATTCAAATCATTACATGGGAGCTTCCTGTCATTTCAGTGCTGCAGAAAGTCTTACCAAGCTGGGCCCACAGGCTGTGCACTGCACAGTTCCAGCCACAGTCACACAGACTTGTGTGGGGCCGGTCTTTAGCCAGCACGTTTTGTGTCTGTTGTGGAGATGGTGGGATTTTGTTTGAAATGTTAACTGCTGATGGATGTGTGATTAACTGAGCAATGAAGGAGGAACTCTTCCTTTTTCACTTCTGTGTCTGGTTAGACAGAGAACCCTCAGGGGACCAAAGGAAGGAAAGGCTGAGTCATTCAGGGTCCCTGCCATCGGATATGGTCCCAGGAAATCCGTGTTGGCTCATCCCGTGGTGATGGGAGTCCAGAGGGAAGGGAAGCAGGGCTGCAGCCGGCTGAGGGGATACCACGTCCTTTTCCTGTGCTGTTTACAGACGTCTCACTTTAGCCACATTTAGGCCTTTTCTGTTGTCTCTCTGCATTTTGGCCAGTGAGAGCTGGCACCTTCCTCATGGCTTCCAGCTCTTCTTAAAGCTCACTGTGGCTCTTGGGAGACAAGAGGGCCCTTTCTCAGCCTCACCCTATCATCAAGTGATTGAAAAGACCAAAAGACTGTCACTTAGAAGTCAGATGTTAGCCATGAATAGTAGGTCAGTGGCTCCTAACCTGGCAACTCAGAACTCTAGTCTTCTATTGAACTGTACAGGAAAAAATAAAAAAACTATAGAAAAAAGATGAAATAATAAAACCATTATATCAAGGTGAAACATTGTAGAAACAGCATGTTGCATGTAAATTTTGGAGAATTTGAATAAAATTGGCTGTGTTTTATTTCAAAATTTAAAAATGAGAGCCCTTTCTCAGGGCTGGGGGTCCAGGCCACTCATCTGGTCTCGCAGAGACTCTCTGGTGAGGGGAAGATCGTGGTCGCGGGGCTGGCGTCTCCAGCCACTGAGCAGGGCCTTCAGAGCCGAGTCCCCTCCTCACGGAAGGCACTGAGCTTTCTTTCAGGCCTTCCAGGTACTGCTTTTGGATGCTTTCCAGGCCAGTCTGAAGGTGCTCGTCAGTAAAAGGACAAATGCAGAGGAGTTCCCACAGCTTAGCAGGGAGCGTTACAGAGGTAAGGGTGGTGTCACCTCTGAAAACTTGCTTTCCCATAAGGGGGCTCTGGTCCCAGAGTGGTGTCTGAGGGGCTGTGCTGTGGGCTCCTATAGCGCCCCCTGCTGGCTCCCTCCTCGTAGCAATGCGCTCCCTGCCTCCACGGTCTTCATGTGACCCATTCAGTTCTCACAGCCATTGCACAAGCAGAAGCACGGCGCGTGTAAGTGGCTCCCACTGGCTGGGTAACCTCTGTGCTGCACATCAGGCCCTCACACATTGGGAGAGAACACGAATGCTCTGCAGACTCTGAGGCTTTAAGTATTGCTGCCAACACGTCGCCTGTGCCACCCTCGCTAGTGCGTGCTGGTAGACAAAACGGTGCTTCCTGCTCCTCCCGTTGGCCTGAAGTCCAGAGGTCCTACGTGCCTGGGGCTGAGGGTCCATTCAGTGAAGCACCTGTTGCTTGCAGGTTTGAAGGACCCAAAGATGAAGTGTCTTGCCTTGGGCCCTCACCACCTTGTAGAGGAGACAGGCAAGCCTACCAAACCACATTGCATACAAGCCACATTCTGCACCAGGCAGTATATGCCCCAAACAGGCACGAGCTCCATTCAGGAGGAGAGTGATGATTCTAATTGGGAAGAATGGACAGATGGAGCTGAGCAAAAGTGCTGTGCCAATGCAGGGATGTGGCTGGCATGTTGCTGGCGTGGCCCAGCAAGCACCTGTCATAGAGGCATGACGGCGTTGGGTCAGGGTGCTGCCACGTCCTCACTGTGTGGCCCGAGGGGTGCCACGAGGCCTCCCAGCCTGTCCCCTTCTCTGTTGTGCAGTAACACCCGCCTCCCTGGGAGTGACCGCCTTCGCCTCCCCTTGTTCATCCTCATCACCCCCACCCCATCCTCTGCCCTTTCTCTTCCACCCATTTTCCCACTGATCTCTTTCTAATTTGACATGTTTAAGGACCTCACCATTTAGTTGTGAAGTGACCACCAAGGGATAGTCCCTCCATGCACGGAAGTTCTCAGTCACCCCTGGGAATGATACTGCCTGTCCCAGAATCAGGCCTGTCCCCTGATCCATACATGTTCCTTCGAAGATAAACCTAAAGGCCTCAGTTGGCCTCCTTCCTGGCCACCCAGTGTCTCCCTGAAAGGATTTGCTGTGGGCAGGAGGAGCAGAGCAGACACTGTCCGAGGAGCCATCACCAGAGGAAGCCTACCCCACAGGAACAGTGGGATACTGTCCTACCTTCTGGCTTGACATCAGAGACTGCCGGCGGCTTTCCACAAATACCAGATCCTAGCAATTCCACCATTGTTACCTGGTGGTTGGGGATAGTGGTGAGAAACTGAAAAAACATTAGGAATCTGCTTGGGGAACAGGGTTATCCTCTCTTTTCAGCCTTTATGAGGCCAAGAAAGTGGAAGCAACCACAGAAAGCCATGTGTTAGCACCCAAAAGATTACTCCAAATAGCATTGGGCAGCAAGGGTGGTTGCTGCTCTGCTTCTATAACAGGGAGTCCTGAGGTAGGTGGTCCAGGGCTGGTGCATTAGCCCTAAACATCCTCACGGACTCAGGCCCTAACCTCTCCCTGGTCCACCATCCTTATTGTGTGATTTCAGCCTCGTGGTTATAGAATAAATGCTGTAGCACCAGGCATCACATCCACACCCCAGGCTGGGCCAAATGGCTCTTTTCTTGAAACTTAGTCATTTTATTTGGGAAGACCACCTTCCTCCAGTACCTGTGCTGGCATCTTACCTATAAGGCTGAGCTCCACACTTGCAGTTTTCCAACTGCAGAGCAGCCTGAGAAATGAGTGCATCAGAGGAAGGAGGGGGTGAGGTGGTAGGTGGGAGTTCACTGAGCCAGCTCTGAATCGGGGAGAGAATGTGATGTTTCCAGGCAGTTGCATCTGGACTCTCCTGTTTGTTTCACTGGCAATGACCACTTATCTCGGGAATGGCAAAAGTGGGGAAAAAAAAAAGGGTGTTGGGGGGTGTTCTTCAGATCCTCATCTGGAAATAAACCACATTAGCTGTTAGGCTGTCAATTCCCTAAAAAGCGGTGGTGCATGAGGCTGTCAATGCTGTGCTACTTAGGAGAAAATCTAGTTTATTTAAGCGCATAAAGAAAAGCAGCCCTCCTCCCAGGCTATGCACTGTTTGTGGATGTCAGGTTTGGGGCTGACCAGGTAAGGGTGGCACACGCGCCAGCCGTGCATCCCACACATGGCTGTGCCCCCATAGGAGGAGGGGCAGGGACGGGGTGGGTGGTCCTACTGAGAGCCAGAGCCAGACTTGGCTCCTGGCGACTGACTTGATGGCACATTCCCATGCCTCTGAGATCTAAATGCCACCAGGGAGTTTCACACTCAGAGGTCTTCTCTCCTAGAGCCCTGGGCTTAGGCCAAGACAACCTCCCCAAAGCAGGAGCCTTCTCATCCTGCTGAAGTGAGACCTCAGCCTGGTGAGGGGTTTCTCACTCCCTCCTTCCAGAAGGTCTCCAGCTCTGTACCTTGAGGCTGGGTTGTACTCTGCCCCCCAGGAGTTGCCCAGGAAGCTCTTTATAGACTCTGACGTCACCACCCCTATAGCATCCTTGCCTACGAGGACCAAGGATGCTCAGTGAGAGGAAAGATAGTGAGGAAACCATCCTCCTCCTTCCTGCCCTTCCCTGCCGTGCCTCCCTCCATTCACAGGGCTCCCTGGTGATGGTTAGAACCCCTTTGACTTTGGCTGCATGTCACCAAAACCCAACTTGAGGTGGCTCAGGCAGTTAGGGGGCTGGTTCTCACACATACTCAACAGTGTGGGGCAGGCAGGCACCCTGGGGCAGGTGGGACATTTCAGGAATGTCAGAGATGACCAGGTGACTCTGCCTCACCTGCAGCCTCCTCACCTTTTGTTCCAGACAAGCACCTGCCACCACCCCCAGCAGCAAGCAGGTTCTGTTTGACCCCAAACTCCCATGTCTAAAAGGATTACCAGATTGGGGACAGGAAGTACACA